CCCCCCCCCCCCCCCCCCCTCCCACTGCAGTATACATAATGAATGCAGCCTTAGCTGAGTTCAAAATTGCGGCTAATAAGGTCGCCAATGCGACTAACATTTTCTCCTTGGCAACTAAAAATTCTGGTTTAGTCGCCACTTTAGCAACCGGATTTGTCTTTGATTTAGATTTAAAGTAAAAGATTAAAGTTAAACAAACATTTTATACTTAACTTAATTTGCTTTTGTCATAAAAAAATGTGCCAAATTGCATACACAAAGCCAGTTTACCTCCAAATTTATAATGACTTCTGTCCGTGATATTTTCAAACAATCAAATCTGATAGATTGCACCATACTATGAGCTGCGTCATACACATTATGCAAACTAACGACTAAAAATTTGCATCTGGCAACTAAATTTCTCCAGTTGGTCACGAGAAGATGACCTGAGGATTTTTTAATTTTGAGCCCTGTTTTATGAAATTCGAAGCTTTTGAAGTTTGTTTTTGCCGGCTCCCATAAGAACTGTTTCTTTGGAGTTATTTCATATAACCTGTTACATTTATAGCCCTTGAAAAGTGTCAGAAAGAATGCAATGATTGAAATTATTTTGGTTTCAAGGTTTTTGTCTACTGAAAATGAAAAATTACTCAATTTCCTAAAGGATTCCATCTTAATACAAATTACAAGATTCATAGTTAAGAACTACCATGTTTACCACAGTTGTAAAGAAAATAAGGAATTTACAGAGATGTCAAGGAAGGATTTTATATTCTCATGAAGAGATTCCTTTCAGCAATGAATAGGTTTAAATGCTGTGCAGTAGCAAACATGAAGTAGAACTTGCTGCCCTAGAATCTGATACAGCAAAAACCTGCATACAGTGTATAAGAACCTGTGATTTCAGGGCTCAGGCGGATCAAGTTCGTATTTACAGGGTGCTATATAGTTATAGTGAGAAATTGGCCTCAAAGTGCTCTTAAAATTTGTTTGCAAAACTGAGAAGGCGAGTGAATAGATATCAATTGACTCAGAGTATATATATATTGAGAAAGGCTGCAAAAATAATAGACGATATTTGTATTCCCGACGGACCTGGGACGAGAGACTTCACAGCATGATTGCCAGGCTAAAGCGGGGAACTTTTTGGCAAAAACACAAACCAACATTGGTTAGTTGCGACTGAATCGCTGCAAAACGAAAGAAACCAGGAAAAAACTGCAAGATTTAAAAGCTGAAACCTTATGGGTAAATAAGCTAAAGGGATATCTGTTTGTGGGAAGAGCTGGTCGTACTAACAGCAAAATTTAAAAAGCCATGAAGCCAAAAGAAGAAAGAAGAAGTAATCAAGGAAATGGTATATTGTGTCAAAATGTCAATACTCAAATCCTTTTTTATAAAATTTTCTTCTTATTATTATTCTTTTTCTCTTGTGTGTATCTGTAGTGTGGAGTTTAAACTGCTCATTACAGTATTATCATCTGTAACAAACTCTGTGTTCAACTGCGTGCACGTTTTTGTACTCTTGCACAGTTGTCATCGAAGATAATGTAACTTAAATTTAAAAATAAACTTTACCTAGTCATCTTGTTCAAACCGGTTTAACTTCCTTAAAATGCACATGGACTGTGTGCAGAACGCTAAGCCCCGTCCTGATTAGTAATTATCCACTGAATGAGTCGTTTGGTTTACTTCAATTAATACACATTCAAGATTTTACATCCGCTCTGTTAAAAAAATTTCAACCGCAAAGTAGGTGTGATAACATCACTGTTAACTTTGTTGCAGGCTTTCAAAATTACATCCATTTCAATAAAAGATATTCTTCAAAAAGTTTAAAGGACACTGAAAATTACAATTAAAATGGCTTTGGGGATTTTGAGAACATCTCTGTTTATATTAAATTATAAACTCGCTCACCAAACACTCTTCTCATCAATATAATTATGGTTAGGATCGCTGTTTTTCTTAGTAATAATGAGCAGATCTTCCTTTTGTTGTTTGAGATAATGATCTCTCAAGTATGTGAGCTCTTCGGAACTTTACAATGTTAAAAATTTTCCTTAAATTCGGCAAACTCAGTGGCAGTTTTCTCATATTATTTTGTTTGTCCTCTTGGCGAGTAGTTTCCCTGCATGAGCCTCGCTTTCATGATTAAGGCCTACTCGTCCCAGGACTGTTGGAGAATACGAATACTGTCTATTGGGCAAAAATCACACTACAAAGACTTCATTGTTGGAATGGTCATAATGATTTGGTGGTAATTTTAAGAAAAAAGACAACATTTTTTAATATCCTTAAAAACATGTTTTGAAAGCTCAGTTTAATTTGGCAGTATAATTAGCAAAATGTGTAGCTGCAGAAAATCTCCATACTCCTTCCACAGCCTCCAAAGAAGGAATTAGAAATTCCTGGGGTTAAAGAACTTTCAGAATGGCAAAGGGCTCTTAGAAAGAATCCCTTCCAAGGGAATATGTGGATATTTTCTGGAACTACACAATGGATTTATCTACTGCTTAAGGGAAGGGGGGGGGGGGGGGTTTGTCAAGGGGGTAGTTTTGGGATCCAAGAAAGGAGTCAAGTTGTTTTTAACGTAATTAAAAGGAGTGACATTCAGATACTATTTAAAGATTTAAAGGGGTAGATGAGAGGTGAAAGGCTTGAAATATACCAGTCATTACTTCTCAACAGAAGTAAGAGAATTGTTACTATTGTACAGACTGTGCAAAGACGAAAAGAGGTGGTTGTACTAAAAACAGTATTAGTCAGTATTGACAAATAAAGACTTCAGTTTGCTAGAATTCCTCATAACTTTACTTGGACAGAGTAGTACCTGGTAAGGTTGTGGAATCCTTGTTTGCTGACACATCTACAACGAAAAACAAAAGATTTTAACTGTCCTGTTCTTTAATTTTTGTGAGCAAAACAGACTTTTATCTTTTATCTTCTTGTCAGTCAATAACATTGTGCATCTTGTTATCGTCTAGCAGTTTTTCAGGCACTAGAATCAGGTAATTTCAAGGATTTATTTATAATTTTTCTCAGAATAATTTAAATGCCTCAGATATTGAAAGGCAGGTAACTGCCATTACTACCCTTACAGTCAACTTTAACTTCCTCAGAGAGTGAAGGGGAAGTAGAGGCGAGCAGTGTTAAAAAAACTATAAAACAGCATCTTCTATAGTATTGTAGAAATTTGTGATAGTCCATATATCTTATAACCTTTTTAACTAAAACTGCAACTTTTTTTCTGTAATAGATACATAAATACATCTGAGCAGAAAATTCACTATTAACAAACAAACTGAAAAAGGAGGTTACATACCTTCATAGTGAGGCCATTCTTTAAAAACAACTGGATCGCTTAACATGTTGGACACAAGAGAAGCTGCCATGACGGAAGCAAATGACTTCCAGGACTCATTAGGAGTGTTGTTATCATCAGAAAAATGTGATATCCCTTTGACAATCACCCATTCAAGGTTCAAATCATGTGCTGCAGCAAACAGTCCTATCAATAAAAAGTAAAAATATAAACCAGTCATGCAATGTTGTAACCTAAGATCAGGCCTAATTTTAGCGGTTCTTGCAGAACCACAAGATCTGATTGGCTGTTGGAATCAACGGAAGTTGAAAGCGCTTATTCCAGTATGGTGTGGTTGTTTTCATGGATCATCCACCATTGGCGGAGAGAGAGAAGGACAGATTTTGCTGTCTTCTTTTATTGTTTTATGGTCTCATGACAGGAAAAATAATATTATGCCTTAATATCTGCCATTGAATTGGAAATTCAGAAAATTCAGGTGGTTGTTCATATCTTCTCAGTATTTGCTTTATTTGCCGAACTAATGTGTGTGTATCGCAGAGTTGAATCCCTCTCCAAGTTGCTGACCGCGAACAAGGTGCCTTTTGATTTTCTAACAAACGAGTGCAAATCAAAATACTGTCCATCTTAAAACTTGTTTCATTTGAAAGTTTAGCCAGGAATGACTTCTCTGAACGGGATTCTTAAGCGGAGACTCACTGCAAAAGAAACCTCAATCGCCAACTGTGAAGTATTAGACAAAAAATATCGCATCCCTGTTCAAGGAATTTTGTAGGTTTTATCATAAAAGCTAGTGGCACTAGTCTTAAGGTAACAGGCTTGTTTGCCTTCGCTTTTTGTAAAAAATAAACCAGGGAAACTGGTGTCCTCGCTCATTGGCTGTTGGCTGTTTGCTAATTTCGATACATAAATTTAGCGAGCTTTTCAGACCTGCAGTAAAACAACAACCCAACTAATTAAAGGAGAACTTCAAAGTGTGTTTGTAATATTGTTTTTCGCTTTGTTTATAGGTCAGTTGAGCATGCAGTTTTAGTAGTGTCATTTCATCTTTCCAAAGTGATAATATTTACATGGATTTATACAAAAATACATTTTTTAAAAGATTTGTTTCTCTAGTAAATTCACAAATTGCAAGTGTACTCACAGGACTAAATCAGCTAAAGTAAAATAATGCACTTGAGAACTCGCTGTTCTGAGAAAATTTATATATCCTTTGAAAAAGTTTGCAATATATTTCTCCAAGATTTTTAAAGATTTATGTACTGACAATCGAGGAGAATTGCCGAGAGAAATATAAAGGCAACAGAAAAAAAGAAATTTCAGTATTTTAAATTCAAATGCGCCTGACCAAAATGTTAAAACTAGAACATCTGGTGTCGCTGTCTTTTGAAAACTTTTTACCTTCTACGCCAACAAAAACAACCTCCAAGATCTCCTTTAATCTCGCAAGAAGGTAAATGCTGACTGTTTTATTTTTAGTTGAAAAAAATTAAAAGATAAAAGCTACTTTTTTAAGTCAGCGAGTCTGCATCTTTCCCACGTATGGAAAATTTGCATACTAAAAAAACAAGCAACGGAAGTAATTTTGGTTGGCTGATTCGGCAAATGTCAATCAATCAAAAAAGTGGGTGGCAGATGTTTTGTAAAAGGTTTGTATCAGGCTCTCTTTTCATTTCGCCTTGCCTGCCGGAATGTTATTTACAAAGCGCAACGAAAATTGAGCCTGATCTCTGGTTTGGGTGGTTGAACCTGACAAATACAAAGCATCAACTTTATTTTAACTTAAATTCTTAGTTATTCAACATGAACATTACAGTTAAAAGTAAGTGAAATAACTGAATAGCTGTAGCCATGAAAACAACATGATGGTCAGACATGGTTGACACAGTGTGGCAATGATCTAGAGTTTCATCATACACCTGCAGTCACACACCACAACAACAACAACACAGCTAAATACATTCAAACATGTAGTTACACTGTACCAATGACAAACTGTGGTACCATGGTCAGGCTTTTGTTGGATCACTACTGTCATGCAACTTAGTAAAATTCAATTTCCAGACACTGCATATACCTAAAATTATAACTGTTACAAAACCATTGATTTAAACAAAATCTTACCTTCTCCTTCCCTTTCAGAAGCAATCATTTGAGACGCAAACTTACGGCGTCGTTTGGCAATGGCTGGCTCATTAATACCACTCAACATGCCCCTGTCACGGTGTACCTGTACTTGTTCTCCAGCTGCTGGATCTTTTAATGGTGGATTCCATCCTTCAGTTGAAAATCTGATTAGATTGGCAATATTCCTTCTTACAGGGGCTGTGAATTCATCAGTTGTTAGTGTAGAGGATACAACCACATCTCCTAGATTGGTACCTTTCTGGTTAAAACCTGCGCAGCAGCCAACAGAAAACACAGCTTTGGGTCCCAGTTGCACCACTGCATTTTTGACAGTAACTAAAGAACCACTTGGACCAGAAGAACCTTTAGAACATCTCATCAAAGCAACTTTCAATGACTCCTCTCCACTTTCACCCATTGTCCCAAAGTACACATGTCCAAGTTTCACGTGATAACTTTTAAAGGCATTTGTCACGTATCTATAACAAGACAAGAACTCACAGTCTTCCACTGTCAACAAGAGAATGTCAACGGGAAGCTGGACATCACTCCATGGTTTTGACTTGTTTGGAAGATCTCTCATTTTAGGCACTTCAATACTCAGAGGTGGAGGCCGGGCATTTTCTATTGCTGCCTGATGGTCAGGAGTACCTCCTTTTCTTTTGAGGTCTTGATGCTGCGCCATTGAGTCTCGGTTAAAGATTTCCCTTAAAAGCGTAAAGACGGAATCCACCAGCAAATTAAGTAACTTTAATTTTCAGTGGACAAACACCTTGTACCAGAATAATAATTTAAAGAATCTTGCATTCTCTTTTACATTTTCCAAGGGCTAAAGTTACTTGGACCCTTGTTGTTTCTCATTTATATAAATGACCTACAAGAATGCGAGCTGTCATCATCTGCACTCATGTATGCTGATGACACCTCGCTTACCCTTTCCGCCTATGACCCTGCAACTCTTGAAGAAAAGTTAAACAAAGACTTGGATGAGGTTCAAAAGTGGCTGAAATCCAATAAACTCACATTAAATCTCAAAAAGACAAAATATATGATAATTGGAAGCCACTACCGACTAAGGCATTTAAATGGTGTCACTTAAACGTTACTGTTAATAGTCAACAATTCACCCGGGTGACTAATTATAGGTATCTAGGAATAGAGGTTGATGAGGCATTGGGGTGGCAATCCCATGTAGATACCATCTGTAAAAAGGTATCTGCAGGTATAGGGGCCTTAAAACGTATTCGTTCCCTGGTGCCTCACCAAACCCTACTGAAAATGTATGATGCTTTAGTCGCTCCTTATTTTGATTATTGCTCTGAAGTTTGGGGATGTATGGGAAAAGGCCTGTGTGACCGACTCCAGAGATTGCAAAATAGGGCTGGGAGAATTATAACATTTAGTGATTATAATACAAGATCTGCGGATATCCTCCAAGACTTGAGATGGGATATCCTTGAGCAAAGACGCTCTAAACAGCTCGCAATAAGTGTTTTTAAATCTCTAAATAACCTTTACCCTGAGAGTTTAAAGGACATGTTTAAACCAACCTCCGGGGTTCATTCCTACAACATGCGAGGTGCCTCGAACAACATTTTTGTACCAAGGCCCCGTACTGAAGCTGCTAAGAGGGCCTTTAGCTATAGGGGAGCAGTCATGTGGAATGGCCTGTAAAAATGTGTTAAAAGACGAGATAAATCTCAACTCTTTCAAGTCTGCTCTATCTTTGTCTTGAACCAGGGATTGCCTTGAGGGAGTTGAGATAGAATTTTATTTTAGTTATTTAATGTACCTTTAAGGTTGATTGATTTTTGTGTAATTAATTATAGGATAGATTTTCTTAATATATAGATATATTTTAGCATTAATAATGTAGTTTCTCTGAAAATTTTGTTATGTAAACGGCTCACTGGAAGAGCATTTTTAATGAAGTGATACCGTTAATAAAGCTTTATTGATTGATTAAAGAAGTAATTAGTCATCAGTAGTAACACCAAAGAAAATTTTTCACGGCAGTCCAAGAAAATAAATGTCAAATTTCACAAGAATTGTGAAAACACAGGTAAAATTCTGAAAATTTCATGTGTAAGATGTAATTTAGTGAAATTTGACATTCATTTTTCCTGGGTTACCATCAGGCATTTTCTTTGGTGTTACAACAGTTGACCAATACATCTTTAGCCCTTGAAAATGTAATATTCTTTGAATTATTCTGGTACAAGGTTTTTGTTCTCTGAAAATTAAATTACTCAATTTCCCGGTGGATTCGGTGTAAATATAATTTATAAGATAACCACATTGGAAAACTTCTTAACAACTGAAAAAATTAATCAATAAATAAGTTAATGTCACAGCTACTTTATTTATAGAGTCAATCCTGTGACCAAGAAAAAGTGTCCACCTGGGAGATTGAGGTATCTGCTTCACAAAGGTCAATATGAAGTGTTTATAAGTGCCTGGGTCCATGACCCCGCGAAAGGGGGTGGGGGGGGGCTCTCCGGATTTCAGGTGACAGGGATGATCGAAGGATTTTGTAGGGTTTGAAATTTTTGATTTCGGGATTTTGTTTGGGTAGGAAAATTTTGGCACATATTTTTTGGAGTAGCTCAATTTAAGTAGGGATTTTTTTGGGGTATTCAAAACAATCTGAAGATTTGTGATAGTTCTGGCGTATCGTGGCCGCTAAGTTCCTCTAGAAATTTTTATGGCTCGCAAAATCGGAATGGGATTTTTGGGGGATTAAATATTTTTGGTCCAAGGACTTTTTTGGGCTTTGACTTTTGCCCCCATTTGATAATCCCTGTCACTTGAACTGGAGTACCTGCCCCCCACTGTCCACGAATAGTTAGTGTTGGCTTAGGAGAGATAACCATGTCTTCACAAAGGTCAATTAAAAATGAAGCGTTTCTTAGTGGTGCAGGGACCACAAAAAAGCTTCATTTAGGAGGGAGAGGTTTCCAGTAAAAAGGTTCCCTATTGAAATTGCAGTGTTAGTGTTATTGGCTACAGACCTAAGTATATAGTTAGGGGTGCGATCTACTATTAACAAAGGCTTGACTACCAAGGCTGTGCTCTAAGGAAAATTTCAGGGAGCCCTTCGGGCTCCCAAGCATTTTAGTTAAGGCACCCAGACCTCAAAGTTGGTCACCCGAATAAAAATTTCAGGGAGCCCATCGGGCTCCCAAGCATTCCAGCTGGGGTGCCCAGACCTCTCAAGTTGGTCGCCCGTGTACATCTGATGAGGAAGTATTTTGTACGCACATAAATCTTGCTGGCCTGCTGATCACCAAACTTGGTAATTTCAGCTTTTGGGTTCAACAAAAATCCGCATGCTGTCTTATGAAACCCATCAAAGTTTTCATGCCATTCAGATTTAAAACCACAAACATGAGAAATGTCGCCGAATTGTTTAGTATATGCATCCATGCGAATTTAGTTTTCGATACGTAAATGGAACTGCCCTGTTTCTAAAACAACAATAAAAACAATCAGAACGATCATATCTTTTCTTTTTATAAATCGTTATCTTAAACAATCATAAGTTATGTATTAGCCAAGGAGACAAAGCAGCCAAAAACCGTAAAAACATTACATTTGCATACTGGTCAATACAGCAACTTCCATTTACATAAAAATAAATTACTCCGCGTCACCAGCCACGCTCTACGTCTGTCAGAAAAGTATTGACAGCTTCTCCTAAAAACTGTACCTAATGAACCATTCTATCTGAAAGAAAAATTTTTAAAAAACTATTTTAAGAAGTAGTACAATAATATTGAAATCTGTGCTGCTTGTCACGTTCAAAGTGATGGATTATGTTACATGTGAAATCATGCAGAACAACCTTTGAACATCGACACGTGCCTGTTTTTTTCGTACAACATTCGTAAAAACATTTTGTGTAGGGTTTCGTAAACTTTGACTCAACAAGCCAACACTAGTATGTTAAATTTTTTTGCCCGCTTAACTGAAGACTGCACCAGAAGCAAGAGTGCCCAGCCGGGCGACCGGGAGCCTTTTTTCATTTGCACGAAGCTAAATGTTAGTCGCCTCAGGCGACCAGGAGCTGTTAGAGCACAGCCTTGACTACAGCAGTGTATTGAAGAATCAGAGGAAATAGTGATCTAGGTAATGATCTCAATAGTGAAACTACAATAAATTAGCTCAAGAGTGCCAACAGGTGTAGAACAGAGGCCACAAAGAGCTGAGTAACTTACTTTCAGGAGCAAGTATGATTTACCCAGTGTATTCAAAATCTTGTGATATCACAGGGTAGCATCTTCAGTATCTTGGTAGTTTGAAGCTGGTCTACAAAACTGATGAAAGATATCATGCATTTAAAACCTTTTCACATAAACAGTTAAATTTTAATACTCTCATGGTAAGGTTATATTCTAAGCATAAATCCTCAAATAACACAAGTGATCTCCTGTTAAGCAATGCTTGGTATTGTACTTATCTATATTTTGTAAAAAATGAAAATGCTATAATGCCTTTTTCATTCAAAAAAATTGTGTTTGTTTTGAAAGTTTTTTGCTCAAAGTGAAGAAAAGCATTTAAGTGCTCGTGTGTAATGGTGCACACTGTCCAACTTATGAATGATGCGTATGGTCGTGTTACACTGTTCTATTACCACTTAAATTGACAGCTGATAGCCATTTGGGAATTTTATTATAGTCGTGATTGACTGTCTACCTACATACCAATTACTTTGAGTCATTCTGTACATAATTATATATGTTACATAATTTTTGAATAATTATGCTATTCTGCGAGTCATGCCACATTCCATTCCGCAAAATAAAATATTATCATTCTGCCATTTACCCTTACCTTAACATACTCCAATGCAAACACGCCTCTTACCCAATCAGAGTTAATGCCTTGTATCTCATTGTATAAATAAATTATTATTATAGCGGAATCACAATTGTTTGGACCCTTGGTTTCTAAACCTCCTGATAATAATATAATAATGTACAAAAACCGACCTCCCTTCCCCAATCAAACGCTGTTATTTTACCTTATATAGATATACTGCGTATTTTAATTTCAGTCAATTTTGTTTGAATATTTTCAGTGACATAAAGGAGATGGCGGGTTATTTTAAATTAATGTACTGAACTTCAGACTGAAAACCAGCATATTAAACAGCAAGTCAATTTGGGAGGTTAAATCACTTGTCATAGAATTCCTTAGTCTTCTTGAAATACATGTATGCAATAATATACATGTAATATGAACTTACTATGAATTATAGGCATGAGGAATCAATAGATTAGTGTGTACAAGCCTACTTACATGTAACTTAGGTGTCATAACACATGATACTCTATACTGCTAAAACAAAGAATGCTTTCATGAAAGTAAGCTTATCAAAAGTTACAAGTAAGTAAACTTAATAAGCTTAGCTCTGCTGCGTGAGGACCCTAAAAACTGCTGCAAAGGAGACTAACCTTTTCACAGCCAACGTTGATGACACTTCACGACCACATGCATGCATGCAAAAAATAGTCCATCTGGAAGAAAGAATGTACTTCATTAATCAGCTACAATGTACATTGATGTCATTGATAGCTAGACAAACAGCACATGTTATATGTTAACCAAGGCCCTGAACATCTGAACATTTTAGTC